TTTTTCTCAGCAGTCCATGGTATCCTCAATACTCTTCCCCAGTACCACAGCTCAAAGGCATCAATTCTCCTTCTATCCTCCTTGGTCATTGTCCAACTCTCTAACGCATATTAAGTGATTGTAAAGACCATGGCTTGTATCAGATGCACCTTAGTCTCCAGTGAGACACCATTGCTCTTCAGTACTTTGGAGAGGTCCCTAACAGCAGACTTTCCCATTGCAACACATCTGTTAATTTCCTGGTTGCTGGTGTCAAGAGTGTTCTGCTGTCAAGGACCTCTCCAAAATGCTAAAGAGCAAGGATGTCTGTTTAAAGACAATGGTACATTTGATCTATGTTCCATTGCTTTTTATGCATTGGAAAGTTGGACAATGAATAAAGATGAGAGAAGAACTGAGGCCTCTGAATTGCGGTGTTGGAGAAAAGTACTGAATAGTCTATGATCTGCCAAAAGAATAAAGAAGTTTATCTTGGAGAAAATGTAAGAGCTCCCTGGATGCAAGGATAGTGAAACTTCAATGTACATACTTTGGGTATGTGTTTAGGAGGGGAAAGACATTGGGAGGAAAAAGGCATCATGGTGGGAAAGGTAAAGGGTCAGAGAAAGAGAGGAAGACCCTCAACAAGATGGACTGGCAGAGTGACTGTAACGGTCCCGAGCACAGCAGAGACGGCGAGGATGGCACAGGATAGGGCAAGGTTCAGATCTTCTGCTCACTGGGTCACTTGATGAAATGTATCGACATTATTTTCTTGTGTTGATATTAACAGAAATATTACACATGGATGGCTTTAAGAATTGTTTCCCCTTTCTCACAATTTGGGAGCTTAGACGTCCAACTTGAGGACGTCAGCTCTGGAGGGATACTTCTCGGGCAGCTCTGGGGGAAGGTCCTTGTCTCTTTGAAGTTACTTTGAAGCTCTGGGAGATCTCAGCATCTCTTCTCCCATCTCTGCTTCTCAACTGCTTGTTTTGCTTAAGCTCTTTTTTAAACCTCAAAAGAGGCTGATTTAATACACATCCAACATTAATCTTGCCTCATTCACATAATAGTGACAACTCATTTTTCCCATATTGGTTTATAACCATGGGCACATTGGTCAGGAGGAGAATTGATGCCTTTGAGCTGTGGTGCTGGAGAAGAGTATTGAGAGTATTGAGAATACCATGGACTGCTAGGAAAACAAACAGATTTGTCCTGGAAAGGGTTAAACCGGGTGGCTCCTTGGAGGCAAGGATTCTGAGGCTCCATCTAACATACTTTGGACATGTTGTGAGGAGAGACCAGTCCTTGGAGAAGGACATCATGCTTGGGAGGGTGGAGGGACAGCACAGGAGGGGAAGGCCCTCTATGAGGTGGATTGATTCAGTGACTGGGATAATTGGGATGGGAGTGTCAGAGGCAGTGCGATTGGCACAGGACAGAGCAGAGTTTAGGGCTGTTGTCCATAGGGTCGCTATGAGTCGCAAGAGACTCGACGGCACATAATAACAACAACAACATTTGGGAGAAGTAACTTAATCCTTAATACCTGTCAATCAGCTTGTTTCTGCTTCCCTCTTGGTATCTGGATTTAGTTTCACTTTGACTTCAGGAATTGAGAAAATGAAACCAAACTGTCTGTCTGCTGGTGCTGAAGAGAAGACACGTGCAGGCGGCAACCAGCGCTTAACTCACTCTGACTTTCACAACTAAGACTTGGCCAGGGTCGGGGAGGGGGCCGGCCCATAGTACACACCAAGCAACTAAGGCTCAGAATGGCCTGAAGCCACCAAGGGAAGGAGAGAGAGAGACTCGGTTGTTGAGCCCTAGAAGGTAGCCAAAGACTTGTCCCCACCTCCCTGGGAGATCCAGGATATAGGAGGCACTCCAATTTCTCAGGCATCCATGGTGTTTCCAACAGACAGACCAGTTAGTCCAGAAGAAACAGGCCCAGGAGGTGGGAGCAGGAAAGGATGTTACAGCAGAGAGGACAAGGATGAGGCTTATTCTGGGTGAGTATGACTCTTGCCTTTGTCTCTTCTGAGCTATGCACCTGGGGGAGGAGGCAGCCTCAGCATCCCTATTTGTAAAATGGGTAGAATGGACCGCTATGCTGATTCAATGTTCTCATCTGTAAAGCATTCAGCACACTGCCGGTTTAAGCCAAAGCATTACAGGTGTTGTCAAATGAAGGAAGGAGGGGGCTGGGGAGAAATGTGGCAGTAAGGAGGAGGTTTTTGTCTGGGAGGAGGGGGAAATGGCACTGCCAAGCAGCTCTACAGACCGCCAATGAGGGGTGGGGTGCACACAGACCATCAGCTATTTATAGGACTTCCCTCTACCCTGAGGTCTGCCAAGGAGACGTGTTGGCTGGAGGACAAGTTATGCAGGAGCCAGCCCAGCCTGGCTGCCTTCTCTGGGCCTGGACCATGAGCCCAGCTCGAGAGAAGAGGGGGTGCTGTGCCTGCTCACCCTACCAACACCCAGAGGCCTGTCTTTCCCCCTAGGAAATGCTTCTCCTTCGCTGCCATGCTTTGCCTGGCCTGTGCTGCTAACCAGGCATAAGGAATGAAGCCACCTGTATCTGAGCAACAACAAGTGGTCACACCACAGGGACACTCAAATGAGAACCAAATAGTAGCAGCAAACACCACACGACTGCTTACTATACCCCGGAGGCTGTTCGAAGCACTTGACTCGTTACCATACATACATCTGTCAACAATGTTAGGACAGAGGTACTATAATGACTCCCATTTCACAGATGAAGAAACTGAGGCAGAAGGTTAACTGCAAGCCTGTTGTGGATTTTGGTGTGTGCCCCTAAAATATGTTATAAATTCCAACTTCTATGTGGTTACAACCCTATTTGGAATTGGGTTATCGATGTAATCAAAGAGCAGCTTGTGTTTTGAAGCAGTCTCTTCTGAGACAAAAAGAGATGAAATACCAACAAGCATGAAGACATGGGGAAGACACATGTCAAGATACATGGACATCTCCAAGGAATCAGGAAGTAGAAGCTGAGGAGGCAAGAACCTTCCTTCAGAGCTGACAGAGACAAGACAACTTCCTCACAGGCACTCTGAATTCCAGCCTCAACTGTAAGGGAATGCATGTGTTTGTTAAAGCCATTCAGTTGTGGGATTTCTGTTCTGACAGCACTAGGTAACTAAGACAATTCTAATCGCACACAGAATTGAAATTAGCATCCATGCAGTTGAGCAGCAAAGTGCATCTCTTAACCAGCATACTAACATTTGCACAGATATTCTCAGACACCCCAGGCCCCGCGTTCAAAGCCTACGCTGACAAGCCTGCACAAAAATCCGGGCTGCCTTTACCTTTTCCCTCCTATCACCACTTTATGCATGCTGCCCTCAGTAGGCCACACATTCTCCAGATGGCAGCACTGCTTTTGTCCCTCAAAAGGTCTCTGGCAGTAATGACCTCTCCTAGCATGGCTTTGCATTCTCTCCTCTCTCTCACGCACACACACCCCCCCACCACCACCCAACAGCCACACATCCATAACCACCGTGAGTCTCTGCCACAGAGGAATTCAGGGGCTGACAGGGCCCTCAGATAGGGTGGGCCACGCCTTTTCCTCGGGAAACTGAGGCACTCTGGGGCCAGAAAAGGAAGCTGCGGGGGAGCGAGGAAAGATGGTCTGGGATGAAGCTTTGCTGGAGAGAAGCAGCCAGCTGCAGCTCTTGAACAGCCGGTAGAGGGCAGTGTGGGCCAGCGTCAGAGCAGCCAGCCACGCGCCCCTAAGCCGGTGCATCTTCTGTAACCCGACCGGACCCGGGGACTCCCCACTCACTTACTCCTCTCCAGCTCTCATTTGTCTTTCATTCTCTCAAACATACATTCATCGATGAGGCGCCTAGTCCTTGTCCACTCCCCCTGCCCAACTGAGAAGCTCACAACAAACGTACTAAAGACAGACACACAACAAACGTACTAAATAAAGACAGACAGCCCTGATGGACCAGCGGACCAAACGCGGGACCAAGCACTATCCCTGGGGAAGCGGGATTTTTCACCCAGCAACCCGACCACCAAACCCCAAAGACGAAAAGTAGCAGATGACACAGGGTGGTGTAGGTGCTAAATCAACAGCAAGGACAGAATCTATAAAGTGGCGCCGAAAATAAAACCTGGGTCGGCGCGAGCGGAGTCAGAGTGCTGGGTGTCAGCGATCACAGCATCTTCCTGGGACTCAGTTTCTCTAGCTGCCCCACCCGGTTTCCGAGGAACTCATGCCCGCCGCAAGCCTGCCCTCCCGCGCGGCCGAAGGTTTCCTCCAAAGCCTGTGGTCAGTCAGCCGCTTCCTGGGAAGCCCAAACCGAGAACCCGGCGACAGCCGGCAGGGCGGGGTGCGGGGGCGGCTGCCTGAGGCTCTGAGACTGCGGCGGGGATGGCGACGGCGGGACAGTCCCTAGGGGTCCGAGACCCATGGGAGACTGAGGTAAAGGCCTTCACGCCGCAAGATCTTCGGAAGGAACTTAGAGGCTAGAAACCAAGGACTGGGATGCTCTTAGGGTTGTATGGCTGGGCCATATAGGGCAAATCTCTGCCAGGATGGGGACTTAAGACACCTTGAAGGTGGAAGGGAGTCTCAGAATTAGTCCAGAGTATCCCTGAGGACCACCAGAATCTAGACGTCTGAGACCTGGCGCAAAAAGTAGGGTCGATAGGTCCAAAGCGGGTAGCCGAGAAGTGATCACAAGGTTTAGGAGAGGGCGCGGACGCACGGTGGAAGGATCCGAGCCCGGGTGCAAGACATGTCAAGCACTAAGAGGGGCCGGGGCTCTCCGAAGGTTCCCGGGTTCAAGATCCGAAACCCAGCCAGGGTTTTATTAGCCAAGCGCCACCGCTGAAAGAGAAACCGAAAGTGCTGCGGGGAGCAGGGTCTCTAAGGGGTGGAGCCAGGAGGGGCGGGGCCTCCGAGCCATTTAAAAGGATGGGGCCCCACTCGGGCGCGGAGCAGAGCGAGCTGCGGCCGTGGCAGCTGCACGGCTCCTCGCCCCGGAGCATGCGCGAGAGCCGCCCCGGAGCCCCCCGCCGCCCCGCCCGCGGCGCCCCGCGCCCCGCCGCCAGGTGAGCCGGCCACTGGGCAAGGGACAGGGGGAGGAAAGGAAAGGACCTCAGGTGAGCGGGCTGCCGGCCCGGCCTCGAAAGCTGCTCTGTGGGGTCGCGGCCACCACGCCCCCCAGCCCCTGCTGGCCCCACCCAGGCCACTCTCCGCGCGCGCGGGGCAGCCCGCAGCGTGGCTTTCCTCCTGCCTTCGCCAAAATCCCCGGAGCGAGGTGCCGATCCCCGCCCTGGCCAGCAGGCGGCAGGCCGAAAACTGGGCGGCCAGAGTCGAGCCGACTTCCCCAGCACCCCTCTCCACACCCCCTGCTTCGACTCAGCGCCGGGGCTCCGCCCTCGCTGCGCTACCACCCCGCCTGAAAGTGCTCCGGGGTACTGGAAGCCCAATTTTTTAATGAGCCCACTGGGGCTCCGGGGAACCGCGGAGACTTGGAACCTACCTCGGTTCCTTAGGGTCTATTAGGAGGAAAGCCCTAGCCCCTTCCCAGGTGTCTCGTGGCCCCTCACTTGCCAGCCGCTCCCGCTCATTGCCTGTCTCCTCCATCAGCGCACCCCCGGACGCTATGGCCCACCTCTCCGGCTGGCCCTGCGTGTAGGATGGTAGCACACAACCAGGTGGCAGCCGACAATGCAATCTCCACGACAGCAGAGCCCCGACGGCGGCCAGAGCCTTCCTCCACCTCCTCCTCTTCCACGCCCGTGGTCCCGGCGCGCGCGCGGCCCTGCCCAGCGGCCCTGGCCCCGGCTCCGGTCCCGTCCCCGGCCCCAGGCGACACACACTTCCGCACGTTTCGCTCGCACGCCGATTACCGGCGCATCACCCGGGCCAGCGCGCTCCTCGACGCCAGCGGCTTCTACTGGGGACCTTTGAGTGTGCACGGGGCGCACGAGCGGCTGCGCGCTGAACCCGTAGGAACCTTCCTGGTGCGCGACAGCCGCCAGCGGAACTGCTTCTTCGCCCTCAGCGTGAAGATGGCCTCGGGCCCTACGAGTATCCGCGTGCATTTCCAGGCAGGCCGCTTCCACCTGGACGGCAGCCGTGAGAGCTTCGACTGCCTCTTCGAGCTGCTGGAGCACTACGTGGCGGCGCCGCGCCGCATGCTGGGGGCCCCGCTGCGCCAGCGCCGCGTGCGGCCGCTGCAGGAGCTGTGCCGCCAGCGCATCGTGGCCACCGTGGGCCGCGAGAACCTGGCGCGCATCCCCCTCAACCCGGTCCTCCGCGACTACTTGAGCTCCTTCCCCTTCCAGATCTGACCGGCTGCGCCCGCCGAGCACGCAGCATTAACTGAGGCGCCTTGCTGTTATTTCCTATTATTATTATTATTTGCCTGGAACCACATGAGTGTCCTCCCCGCCTGGGCTGGAGGGAGCGGGTGTGGAGGGTGAGGTGCCACCCGCTCTTTGGAGTCGAGGCTACAGTCCCCTCCCCACTTGTTGGGGGGCTAATCCCCTCCTGGTGCTCCCTCTGGTCCCCTGGTTGCTGCAGCAGCTTAACTGTATGTGGGGCCAGAACCTTAACTCCCATCTCCTACCTCTTCATGTTTACATATAACCCAGTATCTTTGCACAAACCAGGGGTTTGGGGAGGGTCTCTGGCTTGATTTTTCTGCTGTGCAGAATCCTATTTTATATTTTTTACAACCAGTTTAGGTAATAAACTTTATTATGAAAGTTTTTTTAAAGAAAAACAGTTTCTAGTGCATATCCTTTGGTGTCAGGTTTTCCTGGGTTCTGGAAGGAGGGAGGGACAATGGGCTGGGCTGGTGATGGACTGTCACAAGCATTTTGTGGCTGGACCTTGCCAGGTTCTCCCCACAACTCTGGGAGGGGGGGCAAGGAATACTGGTCTCCTTTTATCATCTGGGGAAAGTGTCTGCTCATGCTGGGACCTTAGTATGCCGGGCCCTGTTGTGCATTTTACATGCTTTAATTTACTTAAACCCATAGGTGCACCTCTATCAGGCACTGGTTTTTATGCCCATTGTACAGAAGAGAAAACCAAGGCGCAGATAAATAGCTTCCCTGTGACCATTCCTGTGTCAGAAGAAGGCACTTGGGCTCTTTTGGCTGTCCACCAAGAATCTCTTTGAATCTCTTTGAAATGGATGACAGAGGAAACGCTTTTGCTTTATGGCCTCAACAACTTCCAGGAAGAGGGTGGGGACTTGATGATTGGAAGGCGTGGCACCCTCTGAAACTGGTCTCTAGGGACAAATTTCAAATGGGATAGGGATGCTTGGCTGAGTTTGACTTTCTTCTTCCCACCCTGTTCTGTCTCATACTTTTTGGTGACTGGGAGCCAGAAGGAGACTCTGTGGTCTGTGGTGACAAGAGAGTGCTGCTGGTGGTAGCTCTGGGCAATTCCCTTTGCCTCTCTGGGCCTCAGCTTCTACCTGGAAAATGGGCTAGCTGTGGGAGGAGGTGACGTTCTCTGGCGCTGGGGAAGGCTGCTCCAGGCTGCCGGTGGAGCTGGCCCAGAGCGCCAGAAAGTGCTCCGGCACAGGTTTTCCAGCGGCCAGCCTGACAGATGGGCTGTGCTGGGAATTTGCAGGCTGCCCTGCTGTACACAGTGGGTTGAGTCATTTTCAGGTTTGGGGTTAAGCAGCCTGGCGGACATTGCACTTCATTTTTAGAAGTTAAAATGGCCCTCTGCAGCTTTGGACACGTTTATAATGGAGTGTCCTAATATTTAAAAACACCTTTCAGACTTAGAAGTGCAGCATAAAATTAACTTGATGGTTGGAGAGCTGGCAAGCCCAGGCTTGTCTCCCGGATTAAATAGGCTCTAGGCCTCAAGGTTAAGGATGGCCTGAAGAGATTTAGGATCTCTGAGAGCTTTGGCGATTTCATCCTTTAATAAGGTGGAGTGGGAGGGAGGGAGGTGACATCTTATCTCTGGGCCTCTAAAAGAGTGGCTGCTTTCCCCCCTCCCTTTTAAAGGACCTCATCCCCTTTGTTCTCTGCTGTGGTGGATGCATTCAATCTTGTCCTTGGTCTGACTTTGTCTATTGCCTTCCCCTTGGGCAGTGTCCTGAGAAATGTAGGGCTCCAAAAAGGCAGGTCTTGGGAATCGGGTTATGACAGCCACAGCAGGTGTGTGATTTTACAGACAGAGGTACGAGGCACACAGACAAAGCAAAGCCTATGGTAAAGCCAGATTATCAGACTCAGGATATGACCACTCCAGAACCTGTACCACTGGGCAACACAGTCACCATGAGGGCCCAACAGCTGACAATCTTAGCAGCAGCTAACACTTCTAGACATTTCCAAGTGCCCTAGTCGATTCCAACTCAGGAATCTGAGAGGACAGTGTGGGTTTCCAAGGATGTGTACCCTTATAGAAGTAGATTTCCACATCTTTCCAGGGAGGGTGGGGTCAAATGATTGACCTTATGTTAGCAGCCAAACATGTAACCACTGTGCCACCAGCATCGAAGTGCACTGCTGGGCATGGGAGATTATCCTTTGTTCTCCCTTGGACCAGCTGATGGAATCAACCTATCTACCTATGTGTTGGCAACACAGTGCCCCAGTTACCTGTATTAAAGCATTTAACCTGCAGTCCAGACCTCTGATTTATCTCCTGTTTTCACAGATGAGGAAACATGGCCTCTCATAAAAAGTGATGAATTCACCAAAGGGAGAAAAAAATAGGAGGTGGTTTACAGTGTATTAAGGATTGTTTTGCTCCTTCTAGAAAAATGTACAGAAGATCTGTGATTGTTCTCCAAGTACAGGATACACTAGCTGGATACCCTTATAAAACCAGGAGGGAGCACAGCTGAAGGCCTGCTGACCACATCTCCTACAGCTGGCCCCTCTGCATTCTCTTTAAACCTCTATACTAACGAGTTGCAGTGACTTCCAAGCCTGCGTACACTCCAGGCTCAAGGGGTCTCAAGTCTGTACAGCCTAGTAGCACAGGCGCCACTGCAGAGGAAAGGGCTGGGCTGGGGGTGGCATGTGGCTTCCCGGGTGTGCAGATTCTCTATCTCTCGCAAACCTCAGCTTCATGATTCAGCAGTGCTGACGTCAATTTATAAGAATGAAAAGTGAGAGGAGGGTTTGTATGTGCAAGGGCTGGGGGTGGGGGCCCAAGTGTGGCTAGGGTGCCCCCCCACCGCTGTGAGTGGGAGAGCCAGGGCAGCAGAGGTGTGCAGTCTTGAGGTCTGTGTGCCAGCCAGAAGGAGGAAGAGATGATCCTTATTTTGGAGATAAGGAGATGGAAGCTCACCCAGGTGCTCAAGGTCAAAAGCCATGGTCAATACTCCCACCAAGTATTTAATTCTAGGCAAAGGGGAGCAGTAAGGTGGGAGGGAGTTCAGCCCATTCACTAGGGCTTGCTAAGCAAGCAAGAGTGGCTAAGCGGGCTGGGAGCATAGGTGAGGCCAGAGCAAGTGTTGTAGGCCAACCTGAAAAGAGTGGATCTGAAGTGGGATTTGAGTCCTAGAGGGTGACTTAAACTAATTTATGTGCTAATGAGATACTAGTGGCTACTGGGGGGGGGGGTGATGGCAGAAGGCTTGGTAAGGTGGGCTTTGGTTTCCTGCCTTTTTACTTGTGTAGGGAACCCTGGTGGCCCAGTGGATAGAGATGCTGTCCTAAAGTTGGAAGCCACCAGCTAGGGAGTCTTCTCTCATGCAATTTACAGCCTCTGGAAACCTGCTGAAGGATCAACTAAGAGTTGGTTCTGTTTTGCCACCAATGAGGTGATGTTAAAATGGGGGTGGGGAGCAGTGTGTCCCAGCCAGTCATGGCCAACAGCAAGGCAGGGACAGCCATGGGACCTGCCATAGTGAGATGCAGGGAGAGTGTGGACCATATAGGAGAGGTCCGTCTTGGTACAGGCACTGACAGACGTGCTATATAGAACTTGCCCTTCAAGCTCAGGTCTAACTAGGTTCCCCAGGCATGATGGCTCCTTAGCCAGTGGTCACCAAGGCAGGGAGGGCAGAAGGATGGCAAGGAAGGTCACATAGGATCTGAAAGGAGGCAGATGTGACCAATGACACGTGGATATCTGCTTTATAACCTCTTCACCTGAGGACTGCCCCTCACCTGCCTTTCCGTTACCAACACTCAAAGACCTCACTCCCATCCCAGGGCTTCCGGACGTTCTTTACAGGTTTTTTACATTTCTGGCCAAAGCAAAATTCAATGATGTCAAATCCTTAAGTCTGATCATTACCCTAGGATTTCACAGATCCACCGGGGAAAACGGATTCTAGAGTTCACACGTGTGAGCTCGCAATCCAAGCTCCTCCCTGCCACCATCATTGCAAAGACCGCATCGCCAAGCCCTAGCCTAGCCTTTCAACGTCGCCTCACTTCTCTCGGGAGGAGACCCACCTCCCCACGGGATCCACGAGGCCTTCAAGTGGTCCCAGCCCTCGGGTCTGGCCTCAGTACTCACCACACCTCCTCGGGCCACTGGACCTTCATACGTGCTGTCCCTTCGTGTCGTGCCCCCTGAGTGGTGGTTCCCAGCGGGTTGACGAGTAATGTGACAGTTACAGCGACGTCCCGTGCAGGAGGCGTCACCAGCTTCAGAACCCCGCGCGGGGGCGCCACGTGCCGCACGCGCTGATGACGTCACTGCGACGGCGCCCTCCCCGACAGCCTCCACGTCGCGTGAGCTCAGATTGGCTGGCCCGACTCAGCATATTTTGTGGGCTTTGTCTCCCCCAACCCTCATCACCCACCACGAGGTCTTAACCCCCGTGGCTGTTGAAAGACCCCCAGACCCAAAAGAGGTCACTCAGGGGCATGCCAGTTCAAAGCCATCATAAGCAGGAATTGCCATCCTGTTCCAGTCCACACAGATCCTTGCAGCCCAGTAACTCCGCCCTTTTAGTTCTTGAGTCTCTTTTCCTCCCGTGGAAATGGGGAACACATCCCATAGAACTCAGCTAAAATGCTTAACGGGACAGAAACAAAATTTAAAAGCATCCAAACCATTGTCAATTTGTTTGATTCACACTCGTGGTAATCCCCTGTGCTGCAAAACAACGGAACTCCATGGGATTTTCTCGATTTCTTCCGAGGTGTTGCTGGGATTCCAACAGCCCTTTTGGGTAAGTAGCTGAAAACAAACCATTTACACCACCCAGGCCCCTTAACATGGCATAGATGTCCAATAATTGGCACTGCCCTCTCGACTTGTTGATGACTCTAGCATTACTGCGGTTTTAAAATAACGTTACTTACAGAGCACTAGGTATTTTGTCCAGGCTGCCTCTTAAGTAAACTAAGGCTCAGAAAGGTGAAAGAATTGACTCCCCAGTATTCTGTGAATGGCAGACCTAGAGCTTTATCCTAGGTACAACTGGCACCTAGCATGATCTTGCATGCTGCCGTGCCAATGAGTTTACAGTCTAAAGGCTGTTCAAAGCCACAGAGCCAGCCAGGAATCAGGGCATCTTGCCCAGCCTGCCCTTTCCCGTAGGATAAACTGGGAAGCTGGGAGAGGCGCTGGCTTATCTGAAAGGCTGCAATACAATTCGGTCTTGGAGAATGCCCAGGTTGGCTTGCCCAGAAGGGGACCTGGAGAGTGGCCCTGGGAAGCAGGAGCCCTGGCAGCTAGAGGGGGCTGTGATGTAAAGGAGCGTGAGCAGGGACAGGGAAGTATCAGCTAGAAAGCTGGCTCCTGAGCAAAGCTGGAAGGACAACACTTAGA